AAAAAAAAAAAGCCCACACAACATTTTGGACAAAGTCCTTTACATCCTGAGCATCCTGAGGAGAACAACAACTTACACAGATAACAGAGATGCAAAATATGGCTTGAGGGAGAGCACGGGGTAGAGGAAAGACTAGAGAGATTCATGTATTATATTAATTTACTACTACAGCCCATTTTGCTGGGTTCAGTGCCATGTCCTGGAAAATGCTGCAGATTATGTATTGGTCTATGGGTTAATTCTCAGTATTAGTTACATTCTACCACCTGCCCATTCAAAAGACAGTAGATTATTACAGCTACCCCTTATTCTGCTAGCTGAGCTGAACCCTGGTGGAGGAGAAGCTGTAGCACATCACAGATCTGGATGTCCAGGTGTACCGACACATGCTGTGGGTCACCATGGGCCTTTCTTCCTCCTGCATCTCTCATAACCTCCTAGCAGTTTTGAGAACTAGGGGGCTTGACAAATTAAAAATATTAGGGGGTGGAGGGGGAAGGCACAATGGTTACAGAAGAAAAGGGTCTTGTCGCTCTGTTACTGAGAGGAGAGGGGCTTTAGGACAAAGCACATGAGATTCCATAAAAATGCCATGTTCCAAGACAAGAGTAGAGGAGGAAGCAGCCTTGCAGATGCCCAAAAAGTATCTTATTTCTGCATGCCCAAACTAACAGCATTTTTTGACCTAACTTACTGCTTCAAGTTACTCACTTTAAAGGGGCTAATACTTCCTAATCTTAACAGGCTGCTGCCAAAGATAACTACATGACTGGCTGGGAGATGCTTAGATGCTATGGGTGGAGCAGGGAGAAAGAAACCCAGGTTTGCATTTGGCCAAAGGCTGGGATATGTGTAGTCTCAGAGGGCTGCAATCACACACCACGTATATCAAATAAATAAAAATAGCAAACATTTGATAATGACCTACATCTCAAGACAGAAGGCATGTGGAAATGGAGTCAGAATGCCAGGGCCTGAAAGCAGAGAAAACGAGTGTAACCTCAATCTTGCCATTTGCCATCCCTTGACTTATCTGTGCTGTAGCTTTAAGGCCTGTAACTGTGGGTTACCTGTCTAAAGCATGGTTGTGCCCCTCAAAAGAGTAAGGAAAGGCAGGACAGGAACCAAAGAAACACTGAACAAGCAAATCACCATTTTAGAAATAAAACAGGATCTTGCCTCCAAAATCTTGCTTGAACTTCCCACTACTTACGGCAGGCTGGACCACACACCTCCACTTGTGTGGAGCACAGCAGCTTTGAGCACAGCTGCCAACCCATCCAGAACAGGATGCGTTCTGCAAACATATGCCCAGGCACAGTCCTAGTGATTTGGAGAAGGCCAGAATCCAAGACTTGAGGTTAGGTAGCCTGAAGTCAGTGGGGGATACTACAAGCTCTTACCAGAAGCAACAAGAGGGGTTACAAAACCAACTGGATAGCTTACTAGTACCTATTACATGCATGCAAACACACCCCAACTGTGCCTTAACACAGCAATATGACAGAGGGGAAAAAACTGCACGCACACCACCTCATTATTAAAATTATTAAAATGAATGATAAATGTCTGGTTGAATCACATCCCTAATGTCCAGTACCTCAGGTATATGTGGTCACTAGCCCACTTAGAACAATTTCAGTGAGCTTCAAATATATCAGCTGATGGGTTACAGTTGTCAAGCTGCCTCAAAACATTGTAGCTATCTTTCATCTGTAACCCAAATTACCACATCCTGAATTACATGTCTTCTTTTTTTTTGTTGTTGTTGTTGTTTTGTTGCTTCATCTTCAGTTACTATTACACATTTCCATTTTTTTTATGGGCCTGGTCTCATACACCAGCATCCTCAAGATACTAGGTAACATTAGGCAGCAAAAGTGGAGTAATTAGAGTTAGAAGAAAAAAAAAAAAAAAAACTCACCTTTACACACCAAAGAAACATTATTTAAGATCACTACTTTCCACTTTTAGAAGCTTGACAATCATTGACTAACTCTCATGGCATCCCTGCGACACAGTGGGGGGAAGTTATCTATCTCACTTTACAGTTTGAAAAGAGAAAGCGAAACACAAGTGACACGAATGCCTGCCCAGAGCAAGTCAGTCCAGAAGCACGATTACAGCCCTGACCTGTGACTCCACATCACACTTCATTTTAGTTCAGCTTCTTGTTTCTCCTACAGTACATGAGGAACTGCTACATTTATAAGACAGTCATCCTTTCCTCCCACCCTCACAAAACCTCTTCCAATGAAAAACAGGAGGTTGCTTTCCCACACAACCCAGCATAACCTCAAACCCAGCCCACCCTGCAAGAGATCTGTCAGTTTCCTCCCACTCCCAGGGTGGTTCCCAGCCAGCCCACACCCTCACTCCCTTCCCAAAGCAGGGTCCTCAGAAAGAGCTGAGTCAGGGGTGAGTAGCAAGACAGCAAGTTACCTGTGGAAGGCATGGGTGGGCAAAGACAGAAGACTGAGGACTGGCTGCCTTGGACAGAAGGTTCATGACAAAACTTGTTTCTTTGCAGCTGAAAGTGCCTACTGGTCCCCCACGACAGTGCTTCCCTCCACCCTGATCCTACCCAAAGGGATGCTGTTCCACCCATGCAGGACTCCCTAGAAGTTAGCTGTGTTCGCTGGAGTCAGCCCAACACAAGCCATCTTAACCAAGCAATGTTTTCCTGACTATATACTTAGATCCAATTTTGCAAATGCTGGCTGGGACTACACTTCCCTTTTCTCTCTCCAGGCATGGCAACAGCCTTTAAGAACACACAAGAATCCAAAATGGGAGACAGAGGGCAGGATGAGCAGAACTTGATGATCCGCACAGCCCACAGTGAGACCACGCAGGACTCCATTTGGGGAGGAATTCCCCACCCCCAGTCTCCTGTTATCCAGACAGAGCCCACCAGGCTTCTTTCAAGACTGCCTCCTGGGCACCCCTGGGCATCTATTTCAGACTTTACAAGCTCCAGAGGGTGCAAGGGACTCTCATCCACAGAGCATGTGAAAATTGACTGGAATGCGTGAACCAAAGCCTGTACAGTCTAATGACTCCCTCCTCCCCCCCGCAAGTGTCCAGCTGTGGAAACCCTCCCCAATCTCGCCTCCTACTTTTCCCCCTTGTCACTGGGAAAAGAATGCATTTACTCCAGACATCGGAATGCCCAACCCTTAGCTTGCACATTCAAATAAAGGCATTTATTCATTTGCTATTCCCGTCACATGAACACCCTGGCACCTGGTTCCTTCCTTCTCCCTAAACCACGTTAATGTAACATTAAGACAGAGAATTTAGTCTCTGAGAAGTCAAAAAATTCAGAGTGACGGTTTCCATGGCAATGCTGCTAACTCATAAACGTGCTTGTCACACACCCCGTGGCAAGATCTTGAGAAACAGGAACTCCAGCTGCAACTCCGACACCCCCATCCCCTTTCCTCCAGGTAAGCAATGTAACCTTTACGCCATTCAGGGGAACTATCTACAACATGGAGATAATACACCCGAGACCTGTTGCGAAGAGTAACTCACACCCAGACCTTTCTGAAGTAAAGGGCATGAAGAGAGCAATGGCTGTGCTCAGACTGATGGCGTATGCAACTTGCCATTGGATTAGTGTTCAGACATTGTTTGTTCATCCTGCCACACAAGCCAAGCACCAGTAATGAAGAGCTAAGTTGGGGTGGGATGAATAATAAAGTCCTTAAAAACAAGAAAAAAAAAACCAAAAACCCACCAACAAAAAAAACCAACCCAACAACCAGATATTGAGCCTCTCGTGATCAGTTCAGACAGAGCAGGCACACACAAAAGAATCAACAGACATAGTAGTGAGACTTATTTTGTGCATGTCTCCTTTGGCAGTTACTATGGCTGTGGAAATTTTGACTGAGAATCCAATGGAGAGTCAGTTATATATAAGCAGGTCAAGCCAGAATACAGAAGACCAACTCGAAAAGCTCTACAAGAACTATTTTTACTATGTGGAAGAGGTCAGGAGATCACAGCCCACTCTCAATACACAACACTCCCCATTTTGATATAAATAAAGCATTTTCAGTCTACAGTTATACAGTATGAAGCAAGGAAGGGAGTGGGAAACTGCTCTATTTTCTGCAGGGCAAGTCTTGATTCCAGATTTCTGAGAAACCATATGCAAGAGGGGAGTTTTCCCTAGGAAGAATGAGGACATGGAATCTTGTGGAAGCTGTTAGTTTAAAAAGATTTGAGTTACTTGCTCTGTTTTTCAAATTCCCACCTTATTCACCTCAGAAGGTCTCCCAGAGATGCAAAATGAGCTACAAGCACAGCAGCTACTTTCCTGGGTCCACAGGCAGGGCAGCTTCAATGTTTCTGCTCTTTGGATTTGCCAATCAGTAGCAGAACCAAGTCAGCCTGCTCTGAACAGGCCCTACAGTTAACTATGAAAGTCTCCCACTCTGGACAAAGTTTAGCAGAAGACAGACATCACATACTAGAGAGAAGTTTCTGGTCATGGAACAGAGAAAACTTCAACAGGTTTTCACCTCTCTTACTCACAGCTACCAAGTGTTATGCATCAGGGGCTCATTCACAAGACAAGAGTTGGATGACTTCAGGAAGTTTAAGGGCAGTGGGTACTAACCTGCTCCTGAGACAATGGCCACTGCCAATATAAGATCTGTGTGAACTCTCAGCCCTTTTCTCAGCCTAGTTTTATCCCATCACTACTAATCATAGACACTAAAGGCAGTGCCCTACCTCTCTAAAGCTGCCTCACTCACTCTTGTGGTGAATGGGATAGTGTGGTTCAGAGACACACCTGTATTTTGAAGGCCAATGACAGCCAATCCTCAATCACAAAACACAGGCAGTAGTAAGCTTTCCCTCATTTCAGCTTCTTGTACCTTTCCAGCAGATGGCTACCCCCATACTCAGTGGCAGGTAACAGGATATTACAGTGGGCCTGTATCCTTCCAGCTGACAGCTACAGAAAAATCACTGATGAAGGCACTCTGGAGTTAACAAGAAAGGTTTCAACTGCAAATATCCCTAAAGGCTCAGTGCCTGTGAATGTCTCCTTTACATATCTAATCAGCCTGCAAGAATTGTGCAAGGCAGAGTTAGGTGCAGTAGAGTTGGGGAGGCCACAGCTTTGATGCTAAATAGGGCCCCACTGTACTAAGCTGCACACAGATAAATACCAGTAGACAATTTCTGTCTTTAGGAGCTCAGAGTGCCACAAAAGGCAGGAGAGGTAACATAGGCCTGACAGCCAACTTACTTGCCCGGCACCTCAAGGCAGGTCAGCAGCAGAGCCAGGAACAGAACCCAACCCCCTCCTTCTGGGGACATGCTACCTCCCGTGGAAAGCCCCAGCAAGGGGCAACAGCAGGCTCACCAATTCCCAGGTGGGTGTTGATAGAGGCGTAACGGGCTGTGCCAGTCAGATTCTTGTTTTCCCGGTAAGGGATGTGCTGGTGGGTCCGGGCATCTCGGTACTTCTTGGCCAAACCAAAATCAATGATGTATACTAGGTTGCCTTTTTTGCCGAGGCCCATAAGGAAGTTGTCTGGCTTCACATCCCGATGGATGAAGTTCTTGGAATGAATGTACTCAATACGGCTGATCTGGAAGGGAGAATAAATAAATCAATAAATAGTGAGACAAGCAAGAAGGAAACTTACCATAACTGTGTCAGTTAAAAGCAGCACCCTGTCCAGGTCCCAGACACTGGCCTGTCAGAATAGGGAAAGGGACACTTTGCAGAGAGTATCAGAAATGACAGCCAAGGAAAAGAGACCCTCTGGGGCAGAAAGATCTGGAGATGGAGACAGAATTCAACTCTGCACACCAGTCCTCAGTCTGGGGAGGTCACCATTAGCACCACAAGGAAGGATGGGAAGCAGGTCTGTATAGACTAAAACTCTGAGCTTCAACATTGACGCCAGTCAACTTCCAAACAATAGGAAAGGGAGAGGGTCCAGAACAGCTAAGGGTCTTAAACCAAGGGCATAGGCAGTTGAGTCAAGGTAGGTAGCAATGCCAATCATTTATCACACAGGGAAAAACTTCCGCGCAGTCAACGCTAACGCAGGGTGAGCAGCAGGGGAAGGAAGGAGGGATGGAGATCAGGAAAAGCCAGCAGTGTCTAGGTTCCATGCCCCCAGCTTCATCAAGAAATAAAAACCTGGCAGCTGCTTACTGCTAAGCGAAAAAAGCCTGGGATATAGCAGTTCTTGAGCAGAGGGGATCGGAGAGAAAAAAAAAAAAAAAAAAAAAAATGGCATGGAAAAGGAGAGTAGGCACAAATGCTTCAGAGGAAACTCACCATCTGGTCTGCCAGGAGCAGAACTGTCTTGAGACTAAATTTGCGGGAACAGAAGTTGAAGAGATCTTCCAGGCTGGGCCCCAAGAGCTCCATCACCATCACGTTATAGTCCCCCTCTGCTCCACACCACTTAATGGAGGGGATACCCACTGGGGAAAGAGAACTATTAAGCCCACAGAACTGCTGCATCCCCTGCTAAGAAGATTGTATGTAACACCAAATCATTTCCTTTCCAAGACCCTCCAGAATAATTTCCTTCTTCAACCACTCCCCCACCTCCATCCTTTTCTCCCCATCTCACCTCCTCCTTGCATCATCTTGTAGAACTTGCTTTCAATGTGGAGCTGAGGATGCTTGGTTTTGACACATTCCAGTTTGATGGCCACCTCTTCACCAGTTGCAATATTGGCTCCTGCATAGAAATGAGGGTAAAATGAAGATTGTGCAAGCTTCCACTGAAGCTAAACACTTTTAACAAGGCCTGTACAGGTGCCAAAAATCTTAAGATTTGCCCTGAAATTTATTCTCTGTGACAGAAATGAGAATCAGCCTCTCCAGCTTCATACAGTGTTTCCAGCACTGCCGTTTGCAAAGGCAAGCCCAGAGGATGGCACATGAATAAGAAACCAGCTCTAATCCTGCAGCCAGACTAGATCAATGTCCTACAATGTGTTAACTGCCTCATTGTCTCAAAAAGTGCCAGACCTTGAGAGGTCAGTCTCTACATACCAGCAGTACCTGACCTGAGTGGAAGTTTTAGCTGTCCATGATCATGTACCCTGAACCCAAGCCAGCCCCCCAGGCAGTGATATGGAATACCTTTTGCACAGCAAAATTACTGGTTTCATCAGGTACATCATGTCAACAGAGCCACCTAGTTCAGGAGGAGACATTGCTACCTCTTTTTTCCAGAGCCCTGACTTGCTCAATACAGACAATTCCCAAACGTCCATCTTCTCCCCTCTCCTAAGGGCTTTAATAATACCTTTATCTTTTGCCAACACAGACACATTTGCTATACCCCAAGTTAGAAGCATGAAAAGTAAACTGAATTTGATACCAAATCGAACTACTCGGATGCCTTTGTTGAAGGTATTGCTAAATAGTTTGCAATGACACAAACCCACCCCACACACACACTTCTTTCTGAAAAGAACTGAGCTGTCAGCCATGAAAGCTAGCACTCTAGCCTCAAAGTGCACTGCCAAAGGAGGAACAGGCTGGTCTTTCTCTTGTACTAGCTAAGAGTATTCCAGATGTTTCACATCATCCTAAAATGGAAAGAATGAAGATCTGTACACAGGTCGCTGGAATGACGCTCAAGACTTGCTTCTCTCTCCCCCTCCATGCTTGCCTCATACACATAGAGAAGCTCTTCCTCATATCTGGAACTAGTAAAAGTTGCGCTCAAACACAAATCAGAGAGCATTTCTGATCATGAGGAGCTTATGAACACTGTCATAAAATAAACTACTCTAGAACATACATGCCAAACATGAGCTGGAGTTAAAGGTGACGTTTTGTAGATAACCCACAGCTAGTTTAGTAGGTTGGGTTAATTTGTGCTCCTGATCCCTATGATAAGACTTTCAGAGTACACAAGGACAGCTGCAGAAAGATCTCTCCACCCATCGCCTTGAGCCAGGGACCAAAGTAAAAAAGGAAATGTTCACACAACTGGATCCATTTTCCCCTCTGGATCCTAAGGATATCCATCTCCTGTTGAACAGTTCTGGATTGTAAACAAAGTTAGCCAAGAGCTGCCTGCTAGCAAAAAGACGTCATCTAGATACTGCAGCGCTGGGTCAAGACAGACAAGCTGTTAGGAATTTGTAAGACAGGAACAAAAACCATCAGGGCCTAGAGGGATTGATTTACTAAGAAAGATTAAAAGAGCTAAATATGTAACATAGACAAGACATACAACTAAGAAGGGTGGGGAGGAAGAATGGGACATGACAACAGTCTGCAAATATTTGAAGGCTGTAAACACTAAGGAGGGAGAGGAATTATTTAGGGTGCTCTGAGGAAGCAAAGGAGAAGCAATGGGATGAATTTAGTAAAGGTTTACTCAAGATCCAGGAGCAGGGAAAGGGAAAAGGCCATCCTGAGAGCTAGAGCCATTTGTCCAATGGTTACTTTAGGAAAGATGCTGGTATTTTCCACTTAGAAACTGCTGGCCAGCAAAACAAGTCTGTACATTCCCTTCACTCCACCACAGGACCCTTCTTACAAGCATCAGGAGTGCAAGGAGGAAAAGAGCAGGAAAAGGGCCTCAAATCACAGTAAGAATTTTACTCTTGGAATAGTATCTACCTTTTAAATTAGTGTTCAATCACTAACCCTCATTCAACATGGCAACACCCAGGACATCCAAAAAATAAGAGCACTTCCTTCACGTCTCTCTTTCCCCTGCCTTCGTGAAGACTTTCCTCCAAATCCCCTGCAGCAGCTCCCTTGTCCACTCCCTGAGGGGATTTTTCCCTTTCCTAATCCATCTGCTGACACATAAGCAATGATGAGTCTTGCTGACTTTCAACAGCAGTAGCATTAGCATTTCGAATGAACCCTACCCCCCAGAAGTCGAACAGTAGAAAGATGAATGAGTTCTCATCTCCACATTACCCTGTGTGTTTAGGAAGATGATGATACATCCATCTACTAGGCTGTCTGCAGGTGGGGAGTGTTATCTGTGAGCATGTAAAGCAGAAAAAGGGACAGGAGGGGTAAGCATCACCTTAAGATTCTGCAAAATGTGAACATGCCATTCAAATGATCAACATGGCCTTGAGCCCCACGCTCCCCATAGCCCAAACACAGGTGTTAGTCTCCTAGAAAAAGAAGAAAAAAACCCATGACCTGGAATGGCAAAAGCAGGACCAATGAGGAGCTATTCTTTGCTGAGGGGGTCACCAATTGAACACTCACCCCCTCTCCAAACCCCACTCTGTCTTCAGGTTGCTCCCCCTACCATTTCTTGGCTAGAGATCTACCTAGACCAAGACTGCCACAAGCGAGGAGGGAATTCAAGGGAAGGAGTCTCTCAGATCCTTTGTTCCATGCTTTAACCACCATCTTTTTTAAAGATACAAGTACAAAAGCAACAGTTCTCTGTTCCCTTTCCAGAGTGGCAAGCATCACGTTTCAGACAAATGCAGCGGAGCCTGCCTAGCTTCAGCCACTCGAGAGACATATGTAGGATTGGGGATAATTCCTTACATCCACCCCCAGTCTCGCTCCGCTGTGGGGGCTGCACAAATTCAACTCATTCATCACAAGCTGTTTGAAACGGGGCCCTGGGGACAGAGGATGTCACCGGCTAAACAGGATCTTTTCAGCGTGGAAGCCTTGCTGCATGTCTGATACAATAAACACCGCCCTCCCTGCACATCCGGTGAGCCAACAGGCATAGCCCCCCGCTCTCCCCACTGCTCACTCCCCTCCCTACAGCTCTGAGAGGGAAGAATGGAGGGCTGGGAACAGATGGAAGAAGTCAGATAGGGCGAGAGAGAGTTAACAGGCCAGGAAACAAAGGGAAGGCACTCCCCTCCCAGCAAGGGAGGAGCCTGCCACCAGGAACTGTCCCCAGCCAGCGCAGGTCCCAGCATGCTTTGTCTGCCCAGCTTCTCTCCACCACCAGTGTGCATCCCAGCCTGACAATTCTTACCATGTCCAGCAACCCTGCCCTGCCTCTTGGCCAATATCTCCAACAAAGCACCTCTCTGATGGCCAGAAGGTCTCAGAAATCCCTCTGCAAATCGGGTTTTGCTCTTCCAAGTGGGCATTTTTAGAGACAAATGGGCTCGCCAAGGCCCAATCTCATTGCCCACCTTTCCACATCAACATGAGGAGGATATCCCCCCAGCACATCCATCCCCACAAGGTAGGGCATGGAAGTAAGGCACTGTGCTTTAAGCCCAAGCCGAGGATTTAACAGGAGTCCATCCTTTGTGTCTGCCCATGTAGGATTTCACATTTTCTTCCGACAGGGAAACACCAAAACAAATCCCAAAGAGCATAGCACACAGTACCCACTGGTTACTGTGGTGAAGGTACTAACATCCAGAAATAGAGAAGCTGGGAATTAACTGCACAGCCCATGCTCACCTACAGAGACAAGGCTTGTCTGTCCCTTCTCCATCTCCGCACCAATACTGAGACAACTGTGAGGTGAACCTGGTGTGGGAAAGAAGTCCTCATGAATGAGTCCCTCTGTCTCAGAACAGACCATGAGAGGACAGCATGAGCACAAGCCTCTTCCAGACACACCAGAGACTCCATGTCCCATCCCTCCAGGCTGGGGAGTCACCCAGGCTCCAACGAGTCTCACTATCACTGCTTCAAAACACACTGGCTTGCACCTCAATGAACATCACAAGGGCTTTGATACTGCATTTAAGTAACTTGGTTGAACTTGGCAGTTGGAGGCATCCCACTGTGCTCACCACGCTAGAAAAGCACTGGGGCTTCCTCTGCCTCTCATGTTGTCTGGTTACAGGCATGGCAGGCACAACCCCTTCCCTTCATTTCCATACCCCCTCTGCACAGGCGGAAGATGTTACATGATACAGAGGAATAAAGTCTCAGGACTCTCCATTTGATACCTTCCTTCTTTTCCTATGTGTACCCCAGAGGTTTTGGCAAGATCCACTGTCCTAGTATAGGACAGTACAGGTCTGGGAGACTTCTCAGACCCCTAGAGGGTCTGGAAAGCTTCAAGTACTAGCATAGGTGGAAAATGCTGTGTCCTCAATCCCTACCACCTGGGGATTAGAAGTGTCACCCAAGACACTAACTGGCTGGAGGGCCACAGAGGAGTGGCATACAGTAGTAGACCGCAGCAAAGGCAGCACACAGTGGAATTGGGACCTCAGGTCCATTATTTATCATCTTTGTTCACACTCTGGGTAAAGGTGGCAACAAAGCCTTTTACCGATGATTCCCACAGGATACTTAATCAAGAGAAGCTGCCAACACCAATCAAGAGAGAATAATAAAGCAAGAGGGAACTGGAGATAAAAGCCAGAAGTAGAAAACAGAAGGTGATTTACAAACACAGGGAAAAGTAATATGAACTAGAGGTATTCAGTGAAAGGAACTTGGGGAGGGATGCGAAAATGTTTCAGATCCTGCAAGAGATGCCCTACAATACAGCTGACAGAGCACTAAGGCCAATTATGCAACCTGATACAGTGTTGGTGATGGGGGAAGCCAAGGAGACTCAAAGCAGTCTATGCAGAAGCATCACATTACAGATCACCCAAGAGTAGCCCTTCAATGCCAGGCACTGGGAATGCCACACTTCGAATGCTGTGTAGGCTCCAAGCTGCTCAGCAGATGGACAAACTGGGAAAAATGAAAGGAGCAGCAAGAGTGAGGAGTGGTAGATGTACTGGGAAACAAAATACAACTCAACTGAGAAATTAATAGTCAAGGAGCACACAACGACCATCTGTAAGTACCCAAAGGGTGCAAACATCAAGAAGGGAGAGGGCCATAATCCTGCTGGCCTGCAGGACTTCAGCTAAACAGGCAGTGGTGAGAACTAGATGACAGGTAGAGCCACGCCAGCTCTCATGGAGGGATCAATCAGGCTACTGGGTAGTCTTGCCAGTCTGACCCCACATGGTCTGAGACAATAAAAACACCAGCAGACAAAGCATCATGGCACATATATACCCATTAGCATGCTGGCTTGGGAGAACTCCCCAAGTGACCTGCCATTGTAACAGGAAACCCAGAGCCTCATAGGCTCTGTCCATTGAGCTCCCAGTTCAGGTCATTCCAGACATTAACTAAATCCCATTACAGATACAACTGATCTGGCCTCAGGACTTTAACCAGGCCAGCCTCTCTGACCTGTTTTGTATCTCCTGGTCTCAAACCTATTTCTCACAGGTGCTGGACCATCTCTTCGACTACCAATCTTCCCAAAACTTTATTCCTTCTACCCTGAAAGAACAGCCATCTCCTCCCTTTCCACCACCCACTCTTTACATAGTTTATATTCACACACACCAAAGCTCAAGAAAAGGAAGAGAGCTGGAATAGGGTGTATGACAAATATGCCCTGAATAGTTCAAATCTAAATCAGTCTGACCAAACACCACAATGTATCCAATACTTGCAAGGCAAAGCTGAGCTCATCCCACTTTCTTTGCCACCAGAAACCAGCAGCAACTAGCAGGTATTCCTGGAAGCTCTTTTCCTCTCCGCCACCTCCAACCTTACATGGTGCCCACAAATATCAACAGGCAAGAAAAACAACCCCAAAACAATGATGTAATTGAGAAAAACAACTTTGCAGGTGGAAATGCAGACTCACACTCACCTAGGTAAATGTCCCCAAAGGAGCCGCTGCCAATCTTTCTGCCCAGCCGGTATTTGTTCCCCACTCTAAGCTCCATGGTTCGGTCGTGCTGAGAAAAGAAGCACAGAAATTGCGGCATCAGAGCAGAAACAGGAAGTGAATCATGTAACACGAGAGAAGAGACCTCCCCGCTTCACCCAGAGGCTGGGTACAGTTTTTAATCTTGAAATACTTCACCTTCTACACAGCCTCTATCACCTCTCCTGACCTCCTGGACGTCCAGGGACAGCATGAGCTGGAAATGCTACAGGAACATGCTCCTTTCAAGTGTTTTTTCCATGCTCTCAATATGGGAATGAAGGAGGGTTGAATCTCTTCCCCACCATTTTGTTCAGAGACTTGGGGGAAGGGGAAAGGGAGGACCCAGGAAATGCCTCCTAAGAAGGTTTCAGCAGGTGATCACTACTGTGAAGAGAGATGCTCCTTGTAACCTACAGTACCTGGCACCAGGACAGCAGTAACCTCCCAAGACACCAAAAGGAGCAGGCATAATAAACCCTATGAGAAGGAGCAACCTCTGGCCCAGCCCTAGACCAGCACCTCGATGGTGGTGAAGCACAGGACCCAAGGGCTGTGAGACAGACTGCCAGAAGCAAGCGACTCCATTGCTCCTAGGCGGGGACCAGCACATGGGACAGGGAGGAGACATCTTACTGAAGTGAACCCTGCAAGGCATGCACTGACTAGGAATGCCACTTGCTTATCTCCAAACACTTCTGCTGATGGGATCACTGCCTCCTTTGGTCTACCTGAGCTGCACCATCTCTGTTGCCTACCTGGGTGTGCCGGCAGTTTGTTTTTAGCAGCTCAGGCCTTTCCTCATCCCTTCACCTGAGGTGATTAGCTAACCCTTTGACCTGCTATACCCCACCAACATGCCCAGGCTTAGCTTACTCATCTTCCACATGAAACCAACTAGGAGGAAGGACCACAGCCACAGAGTTCTCCCTGCCAACCTCAACTTCTGCTGCAACACCTCAGCCAAACAGTTCCAGCAGTTTCCCCCCCTAACAGCCCCCATTCCCTCATGCCTTCCATGGCCACCAACTTATTCTAGGAACCACGTCTCTTCCCAAGACAGCAAACACGTCTCCTTTTAGAGGGATTTGCTACACTCCTAATTTATGCAATGCCACATTATTAGCGTACAAAATGCAGACACAGAGCCTGTTGGGGACAGGAAAGGTGAGGAATGATTCATGTTTTCACAAGTAGGTGAGAGGAACTTTCCCTTGCTGGAGCTGGTGGGAAGGAAGGAAGGAAAGAAAGAAGGTAGGAATGGCCTTGTGAGACACAAGCACAAAAAATATAATCCCAGCTATAGGATTCTGGGCACACTATAAACCCAGAGCTGCTTCTCCTGCCCCAGGAGATGGGATTACAGAAAGAGGAATGGACGGGCTGCAGAGACATACAGGGAAATAATCCTATCAAGGAATTCAGGGGACATTGTGAACCCTGAAAGCAGAACTCCAGTCACCAGAAACCACACACAAAACACTTAAGAGGTGGAGTCCCTTCACCTAGTATTTACTTATGCATGTGGGTTTCTGTGCGCCTAAAGTCTAAAAAACCCTGTGGCTATTTCTGACTTTCTTACTACAAGGAACGTAGGCAGAGCCTTGGGAACCAAACCAGGAGGCAGGCGTACCTGGGTGAGGGTGCAGCAAACAGACATGATTTTTATCCGCTGCCTGCTGTTCTGTATAACCACATTAACACACATCTGACTTGCTTACACTCCTACTCCAATAAACGATCAAAGGTCTGTGTCCCCAGGAACCCGTCACACCACTGTCAGGAAGACAGCTCTCCAAGCTCCTTCCTTCATGGCCTGCGAACCCTGAACACTTCCACTCCAGTCCAACTCCCAGCCAGGAGAGTCTACAAGCAACAGAGATCAAAAGACCAGGCAATAAGCCCTGGCAGGGTCTCCTTCTGGTGGGGGCACAGCAGTTACTGCTCTGCAACACCACAGTCCCAGGCCTAAATTTGGTCCCACCCTTCTGGGACAGGCAGGAGCCGGGTTAAGAAGGGTTTCTCGTGCAAGGAAGCAGCAGCTCTTTTAGCTGATTAAGCAACAGGCTCCAAAGGGGAATCTAAAAAATGCTCCGGGGTGAGGTGGTGGAAGCGGGAAGCAGGATAATGGACTGAAAAATCATGGTCTCGCACAGCTGTCATTTTGCCTTATCTCCCCCCCAACACACACACACAAGTGTGCTTAGAAAACCAGGGTGGAGGAGGACAGACAGAGAGGAACAGCCTGGATTTATGGTAAGGGGGGGAGGGCACACATCCCACCCCACCCCCCAACTGCTCCAGGAGTTCAAACATCGATCACATTTGCCTTTACTTCACACACGTACTCCCACCAGCTACAGCTTCCGCCCTTATCATCTGATCTTCAGGTCTACTATTACAAGAAGAAGAAAGAAAAATTTACATCTAAAATTTATATTATTATATATGAAATTTGTGTTAGTCCTTCTATATTATTTACACTTGTAAAATAAATAGTCATTCCTCCCTCAAGCCCCCCCCCCAGCAGGTTTAACACCCCCTGACCTGCCACCCTTCCTGCACTCTCCAGCCAAGGCAGCATTCCCAGGGGCTACAGGGCAATCATTTAGTTAAACCATTTAGTTTTCCATACGGGATTAACACACATACAACCTCAAAGCAAGTGTGTGCTCTGCTTGAGCGTTTGCATACGTGAATATCCAACATTACAGAGACACCTACAATATACTACACAGCCTCAAAAAAAAACACAAAAAAAACCAACCCTACTATCCAGCCACCAGCACTGCTTCCACACACACACAATTTTGCACCAATCCCCTTTTATATAATATAAAATACCCACGTACAGACACAAAGGCCATTATATAAACACATGATACGAGTTGATCTCACACCGCTGTGCCAGCGCCGATGGAGACCAAATACACAGGGACCATCAGAGGAGGTGGGGGGTACAGGGGGGACACACATGACAGGAGGACCACCTCAGTGCCATCTGAGGGGGTCAAGAGTGAGAAGATGCCCTGGCTAGCAAAGGCCACACAAAACCAAACCCACGGCTCCATAATGGAGGCTGCCGAGCCCAGCACCTCTCTAGCTTTCAGTGGAAGTGTGGGGAGTGGGGGCTGCTTTGCTCATAAAGACTTTACATGGCTTTTTGTGTGTGTGTGTGTGTGCGCGAAGGGAATAAAGGAAGAGGCTGGCAAAGCAGTAATTTTAACCGGCTAAAAAAATGAGAAGGAAAAAGAGAAAAATTACGTTTTGATTGCAGTGCAAAACATCAAACCCCTCCAGACCCTTTCACACTTACAAAAAGGAGAGCAGCAAATTAGACGGGGGTGGGGTGTACAAACCCCATGTACAGGGCATTTGGACTACTATATCTGAGAAAGAAATAGCCACAACAGGAAAAGGGGACAAAAAAATAATAATAATAAATATATCCCTTACACCCCCACCCCCTACAGGCAAAACAC